TTTTCTGCAAAATAAGCCAATTTAAAAGTTTATTTTCGTTTTGAAAAACAAAAAATATCAAAAAGTAAAACAAATTCTTATTAAAACGTTTCTAAAATTGTTTTTTTATATGGTTTGTAAAATTGTTACGTTCTCTTGTTCGGATCAGGGACGTATTCTACGCGTTTGTCTGCGGCGAAAAGACGGGAAGAGCGATTCGATACGACAAGAAAACGAAACAGGCCAAAGTTATTATGGACCATCTCCATTTCCCTAATGGTCTTGCCTTAAGCAAAGATGGTTCGTTCGTGCTTTCATGTGAGGTCCCAACGCAACTTGTGCATCGATATTGGGTCAAGGGACCAAAAGCCGGGACCCGCGATATATTCGCAAAGCTCCCGGGCTACGCTGATAACATCAGGAGGACCGAGACAGGGGATTTCTGGGTTGCCTTGCATTCCAAGAAAACTCCATTTTCTAGGTTTTCGTTGATGCATCCGTGGATTGGAAAATTCTTCATGAAGACTTTGAAGTTGGAACTGTTGGTTTTTCTTTTCGAAGGAGGGAAGCCTCATGCCGTGGCCGTGAAACTCTGCGGCGAGACTGGTGAAGTTGTGGAGATTCTTGAGGATAGTGAAGGGAAGACAATGAAGTTTATAAGTGAGGTTCAAGAGAGAGATGGTAAACTCTGGTTTGGTTCTGTTTTCCTGCCTTCTGTTTGGGTTCTGGATCGTCTGTGATCTACACGATTACGTTTTTTAAGTGTTTTTGATTAGCACCGTGATTAAAGGATTTTTCTTTTGCTTCTGCATTATCACTTTCTTATATGTCTGGTTTTGATAATAATTAAGGGTTTTCTATAAGTATTTATCCGGTTAGATTTGCATTTAAGATAAAGTCCTTCTCAAGAGTCTTGATCTTTACTGAAATCTTGGTTTCTTATGGTTTACGTTCCTTTCAATTAAATCTTGGTTTTTTTTGTTTGTTAAAGTAATCTTGGTTTCTTATCGTTTACGTTCCTTTCAATTCGATGATCCACTTTTTCAGTTTGAATATAAATTGAGTATTGTTTTTATTGGTTTTACTGTTAATATATTCAAGTGAAAAAGTAACTTGTATGAAATACTATCTACCAAGCTCAAAGCGAAAAATCTCATGACGGAAAACATTAGTTTTGTTGTTTTTCTTGTTAATATGAATTGGATAGGATTACAATGACATTATATAGGTGATTCGACAGATAAATTAATTTTAAAGAGCAACGGTTCCTTTTGCACATACACTTTGACGAGGATGAGCTTCACTGATGATATATTGACGATATCAATCCAACCTTTCTTCGAGTTTTAAGAAAATTTACCAAAATGAATTTCCGCACAACATTAATTAAAGACGGATTTTTAACATTTTTGGCGATAAGAAAATGATGGTATAAAACGGATAATTTTTTGTTTTTTCGTCAAGCAGATAATTTATTTAAGCAAAAGAAAAATGGACTACAAGCAAAATTAAATTAAAGCATATGGGGAGACAAATGCAGATCCTTACGATTTTTTTTAATTTTTTTTTGTTGCTTCAGAAAACTTGAAAATTGTGAGGCTATGGACCGGCCTGTGCAGCCCCACTAACCATAATAGGCAGGATTAGACAAGGATATTTGTAAACATGATGAGGTCAACATTAATTAATTTTTTGAACAACTTTCTTTAATTGGCTCTGAAACAAAATTGAATTTGTTTGTTTGGATAGGTTTGATGACGC